TTGGGACTGGGGGCTGCTGTGTGTGCAGGTGGGTGCCCTGTTTGCTGCTCGCTGGTGCGTGCCGGACTGCGGTGTCGGTGTGTACAGCCGATACGCTGCATACCCCTGCTGCAACCTCCCTTCGGTTGTGCTCGGGGCTGTGAGGTGGCACCACCCTGCACCGCTCCTGCCTCTGCTGCCTGCGTGGCGATGCCGAAGCCTGGGCAGCAGCGCTCGCACCGCTCGGAGCAGGGCTGCCGAGACTGCACGGAGCCGCAGGCAGCTCTTTGCCGGCTCTGAGGGATGGTCAGATCCCTCTCGCCTGCCGCTGCCACTTCAACTCAGGACTTTTATTTCTCTCTACCAGCCCCGGAGGTGTTGGGCCCGGAGAAGTACGACAAGTCCTGTGACATGTGGTCCCTCGGCGTCATCATGTACATTCTGTAAGTCCCATGGGTCCTTCTCCATCCTCCCGGGGTCAGAAGAGGGGATGCAGCTTCCGAGCTGTCTGCTGGCTGGTGGGGCTGAGCCTTTCCCAGCTGTGCTGCTCCTGCCCCTGGCACTGCCCCGTGCCCTGCGGGTGCTACCGGGGGGCTTTTGGGGCGACGCGTTGACTCTCCGCTCCCTCTCCCGGCACAGGCTGTGCGGGTCCCCCCCCTTCTACTCCAACCACGGCCTGGCCATCTCGCCTGGCATGAAGAAGCGAATTCGAATGGGCCAGTATGAGTTTCCCAATCCTGAATGGTCCGAAGTGTCGGAGGAAGGTAAACGCGGTCCCCGTGATGGCTTGTCCCCGGGCTGAGGTCTCTTTGGGGTCAGCCCTGTGTCCGGCAGCGCTGCGAAGGCTGGGGGAAGCCTGGGCATGTCGTGGGTCACCTCTCAGCGGTGCAGCAGCTTTGCCCCTTCGCTCGAGAGGCTTTTGCTGAAGGGTTTGACCAGGCTGAGGTCTGTGGCACAGAGGGGACGGGCGATGTGTGCAGGCGTTTTGGGTCTGCTAGCTCAGGTTGGAGCAGGGGGAGAGCCCCCGCCCCGGGACCTGCTAACAACCTGGCCCTGCACAAACCCTTCCAGTTAAGCAGCTGATCCGCAACCTGCTGAAGACGGACCCGACCCAGCGGATGACGATAACGGAGTTCAT